CCCAAATCCACCTCAAAACCCCCCAAATCCGCCCCAAAACAACCTGAGGGGTGAGACTCCCAAATCCACCCCCAAACATCCCAAATTCACCCCAAAACCCCCCAAATCCATCCCAAAACAACCTGAGGGGTGAGACTCCCAAATCCACCCCAAACCACCCCAAATCCACCCTAAAACCCCCCAAAACCACCCCCCAAAACACCCCCGGGGGGTGAGAGCCCCAAATCCACCTCAAAACAACCCAAATCCACCTCAAAACCCCCCAAATCCGCCCCAAAACAACCTGAGGGGTGAGACTCCCAAATCCACCCCCAAACATCCCAAATCCACCCCCAAAAACCCCAAATCCCGCCCCATGTCCCCCCATGACCCCCCCGGTGCCCCCCCCGCGCCCACCCTTGCGCAGGAAGGGGCCCCTCCGGCGGTCGAGGATGAACTGGGGGGAGAGGCTGAAGTTGCTCATGGGGTTGTGGCTCATGGTGACGAAGGAGGCGTTGGACACCACGGCGTCCAGAGCCCGCGGGGACAGCGAACGGCCCAGGAACTGGCACAGCCGCTGGACACTGCCCCGGAGGTCCTGGGGACAGAGGGGACATCAGTGGGGACATTGGGGACATCATTGGGGACATTGGGGACAGCCCAGGAACTGGCACAGCCGCTGGACACTGCCCCGGAGGTCCTGGGGACATTGGGGACATCATTGGGGACATTGGGGACATCATTGGGGACATTGGGGACAGCCCAGGAACTGGCACAGCCGCTGGACACTGCCCCGGAGGTCCTGGGGGGACAGGGGACATCAGTGGGGACATTGGGGACATTGGGGACATCAATGGGGACATTGGGGACATTGGGGACAGCCCAGGAACCGGCACAGCCACTGGACACTGCCCCGGAGGTCCTGGGGACATTGGGGACATCATTGGGGACATCATTGGGGACATTGGGGACATCAATGGGGACAGGGAACGGCCCAGGAACCGGCACAGCCGCTGGACACTGCCCCAGAGGTCCTGGGGGACAGGGGGGACATTGGGGACATCAATGGAGACATTGGGGACATCATTGGGGACATTGGGGACATCAATGGGGACAGGGAATGGCCCAGGAACTGGCACAGCCGCTGGACACTGCCCCAGAGGTCCTGGGGACAGAGGGGACATTGGGGACATCAATGGGGACATTGGGGACAGCCCAGGAACTGGCACAGCCGCTGGATGCTGGACACTGCCCCGGAGGTCCTGGGGGGACAGGGGACATCAGTGGGGACATTGGGGACATTGGGGACATCAATGGGGACATCAATGGGGACATTGGGGACATTGGGGACAGCCCAGGAACCGGCACAGCCACTGGACACTGCCCCGGAGGTCCTGGGGACATTGGGGACATCATTGGGGACATTGGGGACATCAATGGGGACAGGGAACGGCCCAGGAACTGGCACAGCCGGTGGACACTGCCCCGGAGGTCCTGGGGACAGGGGGGACATTGGGGACATCAATGGGGACATTGGGGACATCAATGGGGACATTGGGGACAGCCCAGGAACTGGCACAGCCGCTGGACACTGCCCCGGAGGTCCTGGGGGGACACTGGGGACATCAGTGGGGACATGGGGGACATTGGGGACACCAGGGCACAGCCACAGAGCCGCTGGACACTGCCCCGGAGGTCCTGGGGGGACATTGGGGACATCATTGGGGACATTAATGGGGACATTAATGGGGCCATTGGGGACATCAATGGGGACACTGGGGACAACAATGGGGACATCACTGGGGACAGAGCCCGGCCCAGGAATGAGCAGAGGTGCTGGACGCTGCCCCGGAGGTCCTGGGGGGACACTGGGGACATCAATGGGGACATTGGGGCCACTGGGGACAACAATGGGGACATCAATGGGGCCATTGGGGACATTAATGGGGACATAACTGGGGACATCACTGGGGACAGAACCCGGCCCAGGAACTGGCACAGCCACCTGGGGACAGGGGGGACATCACTGGGGACATTGGGGTGACATTGGGGTGACCCTGGGTGACCCTGGGTGACATTGGGGTGACCTTGGGGTGCCATGGGGGTCCCCCCACCTGCTGCAGCTCCTCGTAGCTGATCCAGAAGAAATTGTCCCTCCCCCGGAGCTGGAGCCACCCCCGGACGTGCTGGAACCAGGAGCCGAAGGGAACTGGGGACAGTGGGGGATATTGGGGGGATATTGGGGACATTGGGGGGATTGGGGACATTATGGGGACAGTGGGG